CAAGGTGCGGCCCGAACGGAGCCGGCGGGAGCGCATCCTTACGCTGGAGTCCATGAACCCGCAGGTGAAGGCGGTGGAGTACGCGGTGCGGGGACCCATCGTGCTCAAGGCTGGCGAAATCGAGCTCGAACTGCAGCGGGTGAGCGCGGGCGACGGGGCCCGTGGGAAGGGAGGGCCGGGGAAGGCCAGGGAGCACTAGTAGGGGAAGAGTACCAGCTGTCCCCAGTTGGGGACCTCCTGCTTGGACTTACTCCCACCCGCGTGGCCAACTCCTTTCCGCCAACCTTGGCTAAAGCAAGTGAGTGCCCTCCCCCCATCCCTTCACCCACTAGTGCCCGGCACCTGGCACAAAGTAAGGCCCTCAGATACGGTTCACTTGCTGAATTGAATTCAGCAATTATAACTGAGCGGTCCTTAGTGCCAGGCACTGCCTGCTATGTGGCTGTCCTACCCGCATGAAACCAAGACCCATTCATTGGTGGGTGGGGGTGTGGGTGAGGGCAACAACAGGCAGTAAGGAAATAAACGGGAATTTCAGATAGTGAATAAGTGCTTTGAAGAAAGTAAAATGGCGGAGCGGTGGAATGGGGGTTCTGGATGGAGTGGTGGGCAGGAGATCGTGTTAGGTTCTGGAGGGGGGAGGAAGGGTCTGAGCAGACCTAGGTTTGCTCCCCAAGCCTTTTCTCTGTCTGAGACCTTTGGGTCATTCTACTAGTAATGGTTTCCTGACAAAAATGGAGGTGTTGGGGAGGGTCCCGCACAATTCCTTCCTTTAGGCCCCCTCTGGAACCTTGACTGGCAGCCATGTTTTGTTCTCTGAGGACACAGTTACCCCTTGTGGGTAGCAGAGGCTCGGGCCTTTTGGGTCTTGGTAGGCTGGCCCTGGGGCTTTCTTACTCTTGGGGCCAGCTGGCTGGGATCTTGACTTGAGTTCACAACTGCGTGTAAAGTGCCACGCACAACCAGAGCGGCTGGGGTGAGTGTAAGAGATGCCCCTGTGGGATCCAGAGTTCTAACTGGGGTGGAATTCAAGAAGTGAAGTCAAGAAGGGTAATGTAAAATAAGTAAACATTCTTAAGAATTCTAAGAACTAATGGAATAATCACCCAGCTGCTTGCTCAAGATAGTTCTAACCCAGAAGGGGAGAGGGTTTCTTGATCTCTCTCTCATAGGCACCAGAACTGGACCTCTTGGGGGTGAGTTGGTTACTTAATATCTCTTGAATGCATGGGAGGAAGCCATGGTGGGACCACGACGCTTGGCCCCCATTAACACCAGGACTTTGGGGGTTTGATGAGCTCCTGGCCTGCTGAGACCAGGTTGGGACACCCAGTTCTGCTGACTCAAAACAGTGAGGTGGACAAGTCAGAGTCCATCCAGTGTTTCCCTCTGACTCCTTGCAGGGCTAAGTTTGAGGCTTGGCCCACAGGAGGCCAGCTCGGTTTCTGTGCCTCCCTGTCCCGAGGGCAGGCCAGAGGCAGAGAAGACAAGTTTTTGCTGCTCTGCTCCTTGTTGGTACCTGGCAGACTGGAGCTGGCCCTCCTTGAGACAACAGTCTCCCTGTTAAGTCTGAGGTTAAACTGTCTCTAGTTACCATTTTACAACTGATTTCTCTGGTTCCAGAGCTGGTAGGAGTTCAAGGATTATCTCTACCTTTTGTTAAATAGCAGCTTGGGTATGAGCTCCACGAAATACGAGGATGATTAGGACAGAACGGGACAGTGTCTTCGCCTTCAGGAAACTGAAGCCATGATGTTCTCTGGGCCTGAGCCTCTCTTCTGCCAATTCTTTAAGGATTGGTGGGGTATTATTTTATTTTTTTTCTGTTTTTGTTTTTGTTTTTGTTTTTTTGCAGACAGAGAAAATGTGAGAGTATGCCAGGTGGGAGGTGGGCTGTGAGCCAAGATAGAAGGTTGGGAAGTTCTGGGCAGTTGGGGAAGGGGATTGATGCCGTTGGGAGATCACTGTCTGGCATAGGCATATGGTAGAGGAATAAGATGGAAAAGGTGGACTGGAGTCTTGTGTGCTGGGCTCCAGACTTTATGGTACAAAGTTTGGTATGCAGTGGGGAACCAGGAAGGTTTTCCAACAAGCTATGGCTCCATGATTGAGGTGGACAAATTTCTCGGTCACTTGAGCTGGAAACACCCTGTGATTTCTAGGACAGATGCCCTGCACTGCCATGTCCTACCCCTGAGTAAGTTGAGATGTTCTTTCTGTCCACCTACCTTCTCCCGTGCTTTCATTCCAACTCATCCCTCCCTGTTCTCTTCTCACTTTGCCGAGGCTCAGTTGCCTGAATCTAGGTACTGTAGGTACTGCAAATAGTAGCCTCGGCCAGGCCAGTGTGGCCTTGCTTAAACCTTTCATTCTTGGGAGACAGCCTCTCCATTTTACTAGTTTAAATAGCCCCTTCTGAGAGAGCCGTATTTTTCCCAGTCCTTGTTTTTTGGTTTTTTGTTTGTTTGGTTTTTTTTGACTTGGCTTTGCACAGTTTTGGTTTTTCTATCTCTGTTTTGAATTCTAGTATTCAAAACTGTACTGATGCTATTTTCAAGGGTTTGATTTAGTTAGAAATGGGATGGGATTGGTAGGGGGAACAGTGCCTTGGGGCTGGTTTTCCTAGTCTAGAAAAGGAGATTCAGTGGCCAGGTGGGCCCAGGGTTTTTCCCTGCCCTGACTTTCGTGCCTCTTTATTTATCTGAAGGCACTTAAACTGCCTTAGGGAATCATTTTGCCAGGTGCTCTGAGAACAATACCCGCTGTTTGGCTGGACACGTGGCTCTGGTTTTTGACTTTGGGGTGGCTTGCTGGGCAAGTCCCACCCGTCTTGCTTCTGTGATTGGAGTGGAGGAGAATGCTCAGGAGAGCCTCAAGGAGGAGGAGCAGTTGGCTAAGTGGGCGTGAAAAGGGGCCATTCTCCTCCAGCCTGGTCTGTGTACTCTCAGGGAGGCCCTGTTTCTCCTAATAGCAGCTCCAAGTGGGGGAACCTACCAGCTTTTCAAATCCTGGTGTTCATTGGGAGCGGCACTTAAATATAAGCTGCCATTAGAAGGAGTTTTGAAAAGATCTGTCAGATCCTCCTCAGCCTACTTCTTTTTTTCTTGCTTTATTGGGGCAGAGGAGGAGGTTGGCATAAGTGGAGACAGAGAAATGGCTTCTATTTGTAAAAGTACACGGATTCAGGGCAAGGCATTCACAAACGGAAAAACTGAATACTGTTAACAGTGCGTGCTACATTTAAGCACAGGTTAAAACGGAGGGTGCTGTGGCAAGCACGTGGTTATAGTTAGCTAAGAACTAAGATTGGAAACCCTGGATGTGCCAAGCACAGGTGGTGAAATCTCATTGGTCATTTTCTTTAGAATGTAGGTGCTATTTTAAAATAAGGAAATTTGTAGTGTAGGCTTCCATCTGGATGAACCCTCCACCCACCCACCCTGCCCGAGTTGCCAAGGACCTGCATCCTGGGCCCTATGTGCTGTGGCCCTCAGACAAGTTGTTCAGCTCACCTTGGCCTCAGTTATTCCTCTAAAATGGAGCCAATTTATTTCTTCTAAAGACTAGTTTGAGATCTTAGTGATGATGCTTTGAACAGCTAGAAGCCATACAGGACTCTTAAGAGTCTTTGTTTTCAAGCTAATGAGATGCTTGGGGAGAAGTGCCAAGGGTCCCTCTTTCCTTGTCTTCCTCCTGAGTCTCTCTGGGTCTGGGAACATACTCTTTGGGGTTTGCTCTCTCCTGCCCGGAACTTAGCCTTGCTGTCTTCAGTTATCCTATTTGGAGCTCATCCAACTTTCATCCCTGTTTCTGCCCTGCAATTCTCAATTTCTACGGTTGACCCTCCCCCAGACCCCCAGAGTTCAGGAGCCTACATCCAGCCTCCCCTGCTTTCGTGGCTAGGAAAGTCAGCCCTTGGAGCTCCCACCTAATCTCTTCATCATAGGTGTGTATAGCTTTGGCTCAGTTTCTTCCAGCGTGGCTTGTTGTAATAGTCAGCACAGGGTCTAGCCTCAGTTTTCTCAGCTATGAAATGCACCTGTTTTCAGGCACTGCTGGGACTAGTTGGAGTTTGTCTCTGGAGTCTCTTTTTGGAGCTCTCTGTAGGACTTCCTGCCTGGCCCCCCACCATCCCCTCCGTCTTGCTCATGGTCCCAGTGTCTTTTCATGTGGCCTTCCTGGCCTGGGGCCTGCTATACCCTCTCTGTCTTCTCTGTGCCCACTTCTTATTCTTCACCAGCCTGGGCTCTGAAGGTGGTGGCCTCTCCTGTGTTACCCACTTCTGTCACAGGGCATGATTTATAAGTATTTGTTGAGGGGGAGGGTCCCAAGGAGTAACTGTCCCACCAAGCTTTCGTGCTCACGGGTCATGAAATGACAGGGGCCGTCTCCCCCTCGAGGAAACTGCCTTGTTCACGTTGGAATCATCTGTTGTCCCAATGCTGGGCCTGTGGGCTGGGAAGGACAATGATGACTCCTTTTTCCTTCTCCCCACTAATACCGTCTGCAATATGCCATCCCCAGATCCCGGGGGCCTGCTCCCTGGGTCCTGCTTGAGCTGAATG